GGGTGATGTGTTGGATTTAGAGGTTGATGGGGTGGTATGTGAGGACTAAGGGGACTCTATCCCTATTGTTGTGGGGGCAGGGGGTGGGTGAGAGGATTTGAGGTCAGAAGTGCAGGAAATGGGTGAGATTCAGTTGAGGGCATCCTTAATTACAGAGAAGGGGAAACTACAGTCTCTAAAGTAGGAGGATATCTGGGAAGTCTTAGAGTAGAACGCCTCATCCTGAGAGCAGATGCGGCTGAGGCAGAGGAATTGGGAGAATGGGATAGCATTTCTGCAGGATGGTGGGAGAGAGGAGGTGTAGTCGAGGTAATTGTGGGAGTTAGTCTGTTTCAAATGGATGTCAGTGATGAATCAGTTACCAGAGATAGAGATGGAGAGATCCAGGAAGGGGAGGGAGGGGTCAGAAATGGTCCAGATGAATTTGAGGGTGTAGTGGAGGCGAAGTTGATGACCTGTTACAGTTTGGCTAGGGGAACAGAAAGTTCTGGAGTACTATTGCTGAAATGTTGTCAGGGCCCGTAGCCTTTGCAGTTTCCAGTGTCTCCAACCATTTCTTGATATCTTGTGGAGTGAACTGAATTGGCTGAAGACTGGTATCAGTGATGCTGATGGATCATTCATTCGGCACATCTGGCTGAAGATTTCTGCGAAAGCTTCAGCCTTATCTTTTGCACTGATGTACTGGGCTCTTCCATCGTTGAGGATGGGGATATTTGTGGAGCTTCCTCCTCCAGCGAGTTGTTTAATTGTCCACCACTATTCATGACTGGATGTGGCCGGAAGCAGGCTTAGATCTGATCCGTTGGTTGTGGGATTGCTTAGCTCTGTCGCTTGCTGCTTTCGCTGTTTGGCATGCAAGTAGTCCTGTTTGGTGACTTCACCAGGTCGACACCTCTTCTTCTGGTATGCCTGGTGCTGCTCCTGGCATGCCCTCCTGCACTCTCCATTGAACCAGGATTGATCCCCTGGCGTGATGGTAATGGTTGAGTAAGAGATATGCCTGGCCAGGAGGTTACAGATTGTGCTGGAGTACAATTCTGCTGCTGTTGATGACCCACAGCACCTCATGGATGCCCAGTCTCGAGTTGCTAGATCTGTGTGAAGTCTGTCCCATTTAGCACGGTGATAGTGCCACACAACATGATGGAGGGTATTCTCAATGTGAAGGTGGGACTTCTTCTTCACAAGGACTGTGCAGTGGTCATTCTTACAGATACTGTCATGGACAGATGCAACTGCAGCTGGCAGATTGGTAAGGTTGAGGTCAGGTATGTTTTCCCTCTTGTTGATTTCCTCACTACCTGCTGCAGACCCAGTCTAGCAGCTGTGTCCTTTAGGTCCCAACCAGCTCGATCTGTAGTACTGCTGCTGAGCCACCCAGAACACATTTTGTGCTTTTTCCATCCTCAGTGCTTCCTCCAAGTGTGGTTCAACATGAAGGAGTACCAATTCATCAGCCGAGGGAGGACGGTATGTGGTAATCAACACAAAGTTTCCTTGTCCAAGATAGACAGGGCTGTTTCTGCAGTTGCCTTTTCTGATACCTAGGTCGATGCCAGTAATTCGTTCGGTTTCATTGCTTTGAGACTTTGTAGTGATTGGTAAAACTGAATGGCTTGCTTGGCCACTTCAGAGGGCAATTGAGAATCAACCATGTTGCTGTGGATCTGGAGTCAGATGTAGGCCAGACCAGGTAAGTGTGGCAGACTTCCTTTCCTGAAGGACATCAGTGAACCAGATGGGTTTTTCTGTCAACCGACAATGATTTCATGGTGATCAGTAGGTTTTTTTAAAAATTGAATTCAAATCACACCATCGATTCAAACCCGGGTCTCCAGAAAACTAGCCGAGCTTCTGGATTAATAGTCTAGTGATAAAACCATTAGGCCACTGCCTACCCTCTACTATCTGTACTATCATCATTTAGTTAGATCATCACTAACTTGCATCTTTATTCTTTACACCCTGCTTTGGTTCTCGTTAACTTGCTTAACAAAAGTCCATCAATCTCAGTTTTCATTTCATCAATTGAGTTCCGTGCTCGCACTCCTGCCTCAGATTTCAGTGGGGGAGGAGAGGGTAAGTCCCAGATTTCCACTACCCTGTGATGTAGATCTTCCTGATATTGCATCCACTCCCCAAACAGCCTCTCAGTTTAAGGTTATGCCCCCATGTTCGGGGCTCCCTGGACAACACTCACTGTGAAATTTGGTTAATTATATACAAAATGGTCTGCTGCAGCTGGAGCAAAAGGCATCTAACTGAGCAGAATATTGCAAATGATTCGACCTCAAGGTGCAGGAAACATCTGACACCCTTAGGCTGCATATTAAATACCTCTGATGATGCGGAGAGCGAGTTCTCGGTTATGAAGCTGCCCTTTGAAGGGGGACTTTTACTGCTGTTCAGCAGCTCAGGGCTGCAAGCTGCATCGAGGGAAAAGAGGAGAAAGATACTGATTAACAGTCAACCGAAACCACTTATTGATCAGAACATGTCTCTCTGCCCACTGTGCTTACAACAATGTAGTAGAACCCATCAACTGAAGGAAGAACTCAGTTCAATTGCAAAGACACCAATGAAGAATAATCTTCCATTGAGACAAACCTTACATCACATCTGTTGGGATGTTCCAAAGTGCTGCGTATCTGCGAAACATATCTTTAAAGTACAGCTGTTGTTGCTATGTTGTAACATGGACCAATTTGTGCATAGCAAGATCCTGCAAACAATCAACAGACACCAGAAAATCTGCTGTTTGTTGAAATGTCGTGTGTGGCATGGATGAAACGTGGATCTGGAAAACACCCTTGGTGTAAATAAAACCATGAGGTCTTTAATGTTGGAAAAAAGTCAACAGGCCCCTGAGTTTAAGATCTCCTTTCAAAGTCACACCATCAACTGTGGTGCGAGATCAAGTAACCAGCCTTTCTGATCTGGATTCCCAAATAAAACCCTCACTTTTGGTTCTTTTGCCAATGGAACTTAATCGGTGTCCTTTGGTGATGGACCCTTCTGCTAATCAGGGTTTTGAGCTTCACGTTCAAACCATTCCACTCACCTGCATGTGAAAATTTCAAGTTGGTAGTCTTCCTCTGCTGTACAGTTCTATGTTCTATGTCTTGCTTGTAATATTATAATGGGTCAACACTATTTTCAGGGACCTTTGCAGTTTACTGTCCTAAATAAGCTCAATTATATTTCTATGATATGCCAATTTTGCCAGTGTTTTACTTAGCCACATTCTTCTATTCTATGCATTGCCATATGAAAACCTCAGAACCAGTGCTATTAGCATTAAAATGCTGCTTATTTTCATTAAATTCCATTACCTCTTCTAGACTTATACAGGCAGACAGCACAAGAGGTGATTGGGCCCATCTTGCTGATGCTGCCCCTGAAGAGTTTTTCAAGTTGTCCCACTCCCTTGCTCTTTCCCAGCAGTATTTCCTGTTTTCAATAGTTTATTCCCTTTTGCACATTATGAAGGAATCTTCCTCACCGCTCTTTAACACAGTACATTACAAATCATCATAACTATGAGTACTTAAAGAAAGAAAAACCTCATCTTTTCTCTGTTTTAACAAGGTGTAGAGCTGGATGAACACAGCAGGCCAAGCAGCAGAGGAGCAGGAAAGCTGATGTTTCAGGCCTAGATCCTTCTTCAGAAAATTTTCTCTGGTTCTTTTTCTAATTATCTTGAATCTTTGTCCCTCTCATTAATAACGCCCCCCTGCCAATGGAAACAGTTCACCCTGATTTGCTAAATAATAAAAACCAAAGCTCTTCATAATTTGGACTGTTTCAATTAAACCTCTCTTTAACTTCTCTGTTTAAAGGAAACCAATGTCAGCTTCTCTCTTCTGGCTTCATAAATGAGATTGACCAGAATGGCAGGCAGGGTAAGCAATCTCTCCTGTATCCTCTCCAAAACAATTATGTCCCTTTTAAAGCCATCCAGAATTCCAAAAGATTCACCAACCTCTGAGTGAAGAAATTCCTCCTCATCACAGTCTTAAATGGCCTGCCTTTTATTCTAAGAATACATCTCCTCATTTTACAGTCACCAGCCTGGGACCACAGCCCACCTATATCTACCATGTCACACCCTGTAAGAATTTTTGTAACATCAGTGAGATAACCTCTCATTCTTCAAAACACCAGGTCCAATTTCCTCGCTCTTTCTTATTAAACCGATCCTGGAATCCAGGGACTAATCTTGTGAACTTCTGCTGAACTCCTTCCATGGCAAGTACATCCTTCCTTAGATAAGGACACCAAAGCTGTGGACAATACTCAAGGTGAAGTCTCACCAAGACTCTATACAATAAGCATTTTAGATAGAGAGATATATATATATAAAACCATTATCCGACTGGGATGAGGAGTGTACATGCTCATATCTGTGTGGGACAGACTGAACTATAGTCATTTGCCATCCATTATTGTTTGCAGGTTTGGTTGTTTCCCTTTGGCCAAAGGTGCAGTAAAGGATTACCCTGGCACAAATCAAATCTCAGTTGACACTGGCTAAGAGTACCTAACGATAACCCTGACTGGGTCATTCGTGAAGTGCCTCATCCAGTTGTGCTCTCATGTTACTCATCACAGAGAAGCACTCTTACCGTTCTGGGAGGTCATTAAATGTGCCTGCGAGGACGGACCATTGCTGGGTGTCACAGTAGCAAAAGGAATGGAGAGCTGGACATTCAGCAGCTGAAGACGCTCCTTCTTTGCAGAGAGATTCATGATCTGTTCCTGTAAACGTTGATTATCTAACTGAAGCAGGTGCAATGATTTTAACATGTCCACAACTAGAGGATGAAAAACAACAATCAGCATCTTGCTTCTCCCTCCAAAAATGGAACAAATTCCACCCAAAGCAATAAAAGCCACCATGTTATACATCTTCACTGTATTTTATCCTTCACTTTCCTGAAGATATAAAACCCAGCTCGCTCAAGTGACCATTCACACGCGCACCTAGGGTGGTGAGTATTGGCAGAAAGAACTTGCATTTGGATGGTGTCTTCAACCAAATAAATATTTCAAAGTGTATCACAATACACAAAATGAGGTGGGAATGTAAGCTGGAGGGCACGAGAAGATTGCACCCTGATACAGAATTATTAAAGTAGCGGGCGACAAGGTGTAGGATGGTGAGTGACAGGGAAGTGTGAGGTTATTCATTTGGGTAGTAAGAATTGAATAACAGAATATAATTTAAAAGGTGCAAAATCTTTATACGTTGATGTTCACAGAAATTTGGGTGTACTTGTACAATGAACACAAGAAAAGCTATTCAATTCATAATTCCCCTGCTCTTTCCCAATAGCCCTTTGATAGGTATTTCATTCCCTTTCCAGTGTCAGTTCTGGGTCTGCTTCTAGCCATTTTTCGCCAAAAACTATCAACCCGCAATTCTGGTCATCAACCCTTCCACTAAGTGAAAGAGTTTCTCCTCATCTTTGTTATCAAAATCAGTCATGATTTTCAATGCTCCCAATATATCTCTCCTTAGCCTTCCAGATAGTATGGTTACAAGAAGCACCAACATGACATGCCCTTACCTGACATCACGTGCAGGCAGAGTGTACAGCAGGGCTCAAACGGTACACATTCCCACCCCCAATGCAGTGAGACAGTACTTACTGTCGATGCCTCCCTCTCCACTCCAGTGCTTGTCTAGGAGCTCCTCTATGTTAGACGTTGTTTGTGGTACATTCTCCAGCTGACTTGGTATGGCCTGATCATATAATGTGGACAAGCCGCCAATGGGGGAGCTGTAACGTTGGGGGAAGAAAAGAGATGAGAGCTGGAATTGAACCTCCAAAGAAACAAGTTAAGGAATGGGTAGATGGGATTTTGGACAAAGTCAAGTTTGGGAGATTGGAGTGGATGGTGAATGATGGAAGGCTGGCCACGGTTGCGCTGGAATTATCAAGTCTAGAATAACTAAAGTCAAAGATAACAGTATCAACAAATAAGCTGAGGCAGAAGCTTAGTTGCCAATATTATAGAGGTGGAAATAGGGGCAATGATGTGAATATGTATTTGGAATCCAGTCTGTTGGTTGACAGATTGAAAACAGTCTGCTCTAATTTTTCTTTTAGTCCTTTATGGGATGTAGGCATTGCTGGTGAACCAGCATTTATTATCTGTCCCCTGTTGCTTTTGAGAATCATTAGATTTTACAGTATAGAAGGAGGCCATTCAACCTATCATGTCTGTATCAGCTCCCATAAGAACTATCCAGCTAGTCCCATTCTCCAGCCATATCTCCATAAACCTCTCAAGGTGGTGGCGGTTAGCTGTCATCTTGACCTGCTGCAATCCACATGCTGGAAGCTGACCCACAATTCCTTCAGGGAGGGAATTCTGACTTGTCACCTAGCGACAGTGAAGGAATGGCAATATATTTCCAAGTCAGGATAGTGAGTGACCTGGAGGGGAACTTGCAGATGGTGCTGTTTCCATGAATCTGCTGCCCTTGTCATTCTAGATGAAAGTGGTCATGGGTTTGAAAGGTGCTGTCTAGGGAGCTTTGATGAATTTCTGTAGTGCATCTTGGAGATAGTACACACTGCTGCTCCTGAGTGTTGGCGTTTGTGGATGTTGGGTACCAATCAAGGGGCAATTTCAGACATTTGCTGGGGTGGAGGATGAGTCAGCATTGAGGGCATGAACCTTGTAGTTGGGAATCAAAGTCAAAGGCCTAGATTTTCCCAATATTTAGTGGGAGGTGGTTTTGCACACAGCACCCAGATCTGCACATTGAATGAACATAACAAATCTGAGATGGTGGTGAAGTTACGCTCCCTCTAATGTTTCCTGCTCCAAAACTCCAAGGTCTGTGTGTGGCAGCATCTTCTGGAACTGGGGTCAATTCTTAAAAATCCTAGCATTGCCCGATTGGCCCAGCTAGCTTTTAATATGACTAGAGCTCAACACACATCTTTCTGTAGTAAGAGAAAGGAATGTAAAGTAAAGAAAGATTTACGTTGGAGATAGGCTTCCCCTGGAAGAACTGCCCCTGCAGACAAAACTGCAATCGTTGTCATCCAGATCTGGTTCTGAAAAACAAACATGATTGGTAAGGAAAGTCAGGTTCTTAGAACAAAAGTCTGTACACATAGCCAGCTTTTGATCTTAAGCCTATTACAGCTCCAGTTTTACAAACATTTGAGAACTCTTTTCCTCCTTGTTCTTCATGTACCTCCTACTTCTTTCACCCCATCACCACTACCTGTGCCCACCATATGGACAACAAGCTCAGAAATCCCTTCCCTAAACCCCTCTCTCTTCCTGAAACCAATATTTTTGACAAACCTTTTGGGCACCTGCCCAAATGCTCTTTTGGCTCGGAATCATTTTTTTTTGCCTGATTACTCTCATCTGATGTGCCTTTAGAACAATTTATTCCACCATAAGTATTATAAGGAGGTTATGTGAAAGCTTAAAGGTGCCCTGAATACAGGCAAAATACTGCAAACGCTGGAAATCTGAAACAAACACAGAAAATGCCAGAGAAACTCAGAGGGTCTGGCAGCATCTGTGGAGAGAGAAACAGAGTTAATGTTTCGAGTCAGATATGACCCTTCTTCAGAACTGTTCTGAGGTCTACACCAGGTGGAAACCAGCACAGCTGTTCACGTTTCTATGTTGAATCAGTTAAGGATGCCAATGTCCATACATGGTTAATAATGGTGGGTGTTTCAATACAGATAAACCTGGGAACTACAGACCTGAGATTCTGACAGTAGTGGTGGGTAAATTATTGGAGGGGATTCAGAAAGATAGGATTTACATGCATTTGGAGAGGCAAGGACTGATTAGGGACAGCTAACATGGCTTTGTGCGTGGGAAATTGTGTCTCACTAAATTGAGTTTTTGGAGGACGTAAGTAAAAAGATTGATGATGAAGAGCAGCAGATGTTGTTTACATGGACTTTAGTAAAGTCTTTGACAAGGTTCCACACGGTAGACTGCTTAGTAAAGGCAGATCATTATGGGAGTCAGGGACAGCTTGTGAGTTGGCTTGATGATAGGAGACAGAGCGTGACGGTGGAGGGTTGCTTTTTGGAAGGCTGTGACCAGCAGTGTTCCACAGGGTTTGGTGCTGGATCCACTGTCGTTTGTCATTTATATAAATGACTTGGATGAGAACATTGGAGGCATGGATTTAAAGTTTGCAGATGACACCAAAATTAGTGGAATAGTCAACTGAAGGTTATCTAAGATTACAACGGAATCTTGATCAATTGGGACAACGCGATGAACAGCAGCAGATGCAGTTTAATTTGGATAAATGCAAGGTATTGCACTTTGATAAAACGAACAAGGCAGGACTTATACAGTTAACGGTGGGACCCTGGGTAGCATTGTCGAAGGGAGAGACCCAGGGGTTCGGATAAATAGTTAATTGAAATTTGCATCACAGGTAGACTGGTTAAGAAGGCGTTCAGCACACTTTCCTTCATTGCTCAGACCACACGAGTATAGGAGTTGAGGTTGTACAGGATATTAGTGAAGCCACTTTTGGAGTACAGGGAATAGGAAGGATATTATTAAATTGGAGAGGGTTCAGAAAAGGTTTACCAGGATATTGCCAGGACTGGAGGGTTTAAGTTATAAAGATAGGCTGGGATTTTTTTTTCCCACTGGAGCGTAGGGAGTTGAGGGGTGACCTCAGAGATTTATAAAATCATTATAAAATCAAAAGCAAAGGTCTTTTCCCTAGGGCGTTCAAAAACCAGGGTGCGTATTTTTAAGGTGAGAGGAGAAAGATTTAAAAGGGACCTGGCAAGAACATTTTCACAGGAAGAGGTCAATGCAGGTACAGTTACAACACTTAAAAGACATTTGGATAAGTTCATGAATAGGAAATATTTAGAGAGATGTGGGTCAAACACAGGCAAATGGGACTAGTTTAGTTTGGGAACATGGCTGGCATGAACCGAAGGGCCTGTTTCCATGCCGCATGACTCTATTTACCCAGGCTTAGGAAGGGAAATGACCAGGAATTAATTTTCTAATAATCTTCCTGGGAGGAGACACTTTGGTTGTTTTCTCCCCCCTTTCTTTTGTTCAATTGTATACAGTCTATTAAATGATCAGTGTGCATTTGTATAGCACCTTTCACTACCTCACGATATCTCCATAGTGCATTCCAGAAAATTAGACAATTCTATAACCACTACTGTAATGTAGGAAATAGATGCCAGTAGATGTGAGTTCTCACTAGCAACAATGACAGACCAACAGAATAATGTGCTTTTAAGCATTACCCGGGGCACCAGTGAGAAATCTCTTGTTCACTTTCATGAAGTGCCATGGAATCTTTTCTAAACACCCAAGGTAGGACCTTGGTTATATGTCTCATCTGAAGAATGGCCTGACTGACAAGGGAATGCTCCCTCAGTAATGCACCAGTGTGACAAATAGGGATCACGTTCTCAAGTGCTCAGAGCAGATTCTGGAATCTCTCAGTCTGTCCACCTTAACTCACAGCATAGGCAGCACTATTGCTAATATGGACAAAGAGAGAGAATACAAATGGACAATAGAAAGGGAGGCTGAGTAACTACTTTAAACAAAAAAATCAACCTGCACTTTTAATGTGCCTTTAATGTGGTAAATATTCCAAAATACTCCAAAGAACCATGATTAATTAAAGTTTGACACATAAAGCCACAGAGGGACAAGAGTTCAAAAGCTCGGTCAAACAGGTAGGTTTCAAGGGTGCATTAATGGAGAGGCAGGGTGGCAGTTTTGTTTCAGAAGAAATCCCAAAGTTTAGAGCCCAGGTGAATGAGTGAATGGCCACCAAAGCTTTTCTTTTAGATATTCATTTGTGGGATGTGGGCATCGCTGGCTGTGCCAGCATTTATTGCCTGTCCCTAGTTGCCCTGGAGAAAGATGGTGGTGAGCTGCCTTCTTGAACTGCTGTAGCTCACATGCTGGAGGTAGACTCACAATTGCCTTAGGGACAGAATTCCAGGATTTTGACCTTGTGGCAGTGGAAGAATGGCAATATGTTTCCAAGTGAGGATAGAGAGTGACTTGGAGGGGAACTCACAGGTGGTGGTGGCGATGTTCCCAGGTATCTCCTGCCCTGTCCTTCTAAATAGAAGTGGTTGTGGGTTTGGAAGGTACCATCTAAGGATCCTTGGTGAACTTCTGAAATGTATCTTGTAGATAATACACACTGCTGCTACTGACTGTCAGTGGAGGAGGGTGTGGATGCTTTTGAATGCAGTGCAAATCATGTGGGTTGCTTTGTCCTGGATGGTGTCAAGGTCTTGAGTGTTTTTAGCTGCACCCATCCAGCCAAGTGGGGATTATTCCATCGCACTCCTGACTTGTGTCTTGTAGACAGTGAACAGGCTCTGGGGAGTCAGGAGGTGAGTTACTCGCCACAGTATTCCTAGCTTCTGACCTGCTGTAGTAGCCACTGTGTTTACGTGGCAAATCAAGTTGAGTTTCTGGTCAATGGTAATGTCCAAGACACTGATAGTGGGATATTCAGTGATGGTAACATCGTTGAATGTCAAAGGCGGTGGTGGTAAATAGTGTCTTATTGAAGGTGGTCATTGCCTGGCATTGCTGTGGTGCGAATATTACTTGCCACTTGTCTGCCCAAGCCTGAATATTGTCCAGATCTTGTTGCATTTGAACACAAAATGCTTCAGTGTCTGAGGTATCATGAATGGTGCTGAACACTGTATAATCATCGACAAACATCCCCATCTGTGACCTTCTGATAAAGGGAAGGTCATTGCTGAAGTAGCTGAAGATGGTGGAGCTTAGGACACTACGCTGAGGAACTCCTGCAGAGATGTCCTGAAGCTGAGATGACTGACCTCCAACAACCACAACCATCCTCCTATGTGTCAGGTAATGACTCCAACCACCGAAGAGTTTGCTCTCGACTCCTACTGATTCATTGTTTTGCCCTAGCAAAACTGGAATCAATGGAAACTGGGGATATGCAAGAGGCTGGAGTTAGAGAAATGCAGATATTCCAAAACTGCTAGAGGAGGTTAGAGTTTCTCTGGTTGTCCACTGCAAGGAGTCGTTCTTCACTGAGTGTGGAGACTGGCACAGGTCCAAGGTCCAGGACTATGTGCTCAGGGACACACTAAAGCTGGGGGCAGCCACTGACATTGTCTAAGTCCTTTCAAACGTAGCATACCGGGGGCCTGGAAACTGTATAACCTCTCAGGCTCTGTGCCTTATGAAGAATGTATGATATAAATTAAGAGTACTGAAAGGCATGTAAGAATGAAACATGGTGTATAGAGAAGTTTATATCTATTGCATTTACTGCAATTTGTAATTTGCATTCTTTTGCTCTCTGTCTAGGTGACTGATGTGGAATATATTTGCTAAATATGAAAACTGTTGTAATTGTCATAAATTGATTTTTTTTTTGCAAATCCTGTAATATTCAAAATGAAATGTTTTGTTTACAAATTCTTTGAAATAATACTTTGAGGAAAAAATAGCTCTTCCCCCTTCTGGCCGATGCCATTATTTCAGACCCTGTTGTATATTACAGCCTTATTACTTCTTCTCAACTGTCCACAATCCTGTTTCTCTCAGAAGCAACAAATCAATATTTTTAATTGCAAAGCCCATGACCTACCAAATTCCAAAACAATATTGTTTGATAATGTAAGACCGAAAGAACTGCGGAAGCTGTAAATCACAGACAAAAACAAAAGTTGCTGGAAAAGCTCAGCAGGTCTGGCAGCATCTGCGAAGAGAAATGAGAGTTAACATTGTGGGTCTGGTGACCCTTCCTCAGAAAAGTTAACTCTGATTCTTTTCTTCACAGATGCTGCCAGACCTGTTGAGTGTTTCCAGCAACTTTTTGTTTGATCATGTGCCTGGGCAAATAAAAGTAGAAATTAATTAACGAAAGTGGGTTTTTGTAATTGGGAAAAAAAAGAGTTCCAAATTATTTCCTTGGTGGCACAGTGGTTCAGTGGTTAGCACTGCTGCCTCACAGCACCAGGGACCTAGGTTCGATTCCACTCTAGGGTGATTGTCTGTGTGGAGTTCACACATTCTCCTTGTGTCTGCGTGGCTTTCCTCTGGGTGCTGCAGTTTCCTCTCACAGTCCAGAGATATGCAGGTTAGATAGACTGCCTGTGTTAAATTACCCGTAGTGCCCAGAAATGTGCAGGCTAGGTGGGTTAGCCACAGGAAATGCAAGTATAGGGTAGGGTGGGTCTGGGTGAGATGCTCTTTGGAGGGTCAGTGTGGACTCAATGGGCCAAATGGCCTGTTTCCACACTATAGGGATTCCATGTGTAGTTCCCTACTAAGAATCACTGATGTGAAGAAATAGCTGAATGATTGTCCTGTGTACACAGGGTTTACAATTCCTAAACAATTTTAGTGCCCATTATGTGTGTTTGATCTCTGCTCTATTGAAATTTATCATTTATCTTTCTTTCCAATCACTTTCCACCCTAAGTGCTGTTTACTTTCTCCGGCCACTGCAACGGATCAGTAAATCAGCCACCACAGCCACTCCCAAATTCACATGCTGTGGTTCCCCAAACAGCCTCCAATGTTTTCTCTTCAGCCAGAGGAGCTTAATTCCTGAAGTTTTGACTCCACCTTCCCAGTCCCTGAAGATGTTCTTTCGTTTACTTTAAAGAAAACAAAGGCAGGTTGTCAATTCCAAATTCAATGCCAAATGTTTCACTTCCTGACACTGAGCTATATTACTCTATAATCTTATAATTGCCATCTTTGCCTCCCTACAACTTGCAGATTTTAAAAATGCCATTACCCAATTTATTCAAATAGGAACATTAGAACAGGGGTAAGTCTATTTAACCCCTTGTGTCTGTTCTACAGTTCAAAGGATGGCTGATCCACAATGTAATGCTAAACAACCACCTTTACCCCATATCCCTTAATTCATCCTTTAATATCTGATATCTTATACCTCTGCTAATCTTTTCAATTTTAGTACAGAACTGTCTTGCAGTGACACTTTGGTCTCCAAATCTCCAGTGAAGCTTGGAGTTCAATTTTATCTGGCCATACAGATGTAATTTAGTCTCCATTTTCAAATCAAATATTGAGTGTATTCCTGTATGATGTTTTGACTTTTAAATAGTAAGCCTGACAGTGTAGATACAGAGTTAACTAAAGTAATGGAGTCCAGGCTGAGGATAGACAACTGTGATGCTACAGTTATAAATAGAGATAACACAATGTGGAGCTGGAGGAACACAGCAGGCCAGGCAGCATCAGGGGAGCAGGAAAGTTGACATTTCGGGTCAGGACCCTTCTTCAGAAACAATTTATGAATTTCCCCATTTCTGAAGAAGGGTCCCGACCTGAAACGTCAACTTTCTTGCTCCTCTGATGCTGCCTGGCCTGCTGTGTTTCTCCAGCTCCACACTGTGTTATCTCTGACTCCAGCATCGGCAGTTTTTACTATCTCTATGATGCTACGGTGCCATCACTGGCAGGAGAATGTAATTACAGCGTGACATGCATACATAAGCATTTCACATGATAAATTCCCATGTCTGTTTTATAACATATGATAGAATCTTAAAATCCCTACAGCGCAAAAAGAGGCCATTCAGCCCATTGAGTCTGCAACGACCCTCTGAAGAGCATCCTACTCCACTCTGTAACTCTGCATGGGGCTTTTAACATGGTTAACCTACCTAACTTGCACATCCCTGGACACTCCAGGGCAATTTATTTTTTCAGCATGTCCATCTTTGGTCTGTGGGAGGAAACCAGAGCACCCAGTGGAAACTCATGCAGTCATGGGGAGACTGTGCAAACACCACACAGACAGTTGCCCAAGGCTGGAATCGAATCCAGGTCTCTGGTACTGAGACAGCAGTGCTAACTACCATGCCACCCCTTGATCTTGTAAGGATCAATGTACTGATGTAGTTTTCATAATATTTTTTCCAGCTGATCTCTGTGTTGTCACATGGTCAAAACAAAGTGTATGCCCTCTGCTGGAACAGTTGGAATGGAGTGGAAGGGATGTTTGGGGTGGCTCATTGTTCTAGAAATAAAAAATGCAAATCAAACCCTATTTTCATGTCACACAGTCAATATTTCCTGTATTTCCAGGTTCCAACTTATAATGGAATTTCCCTATGTAAACTTGTTACACTATAATTGTACCTTTTCCTGCACAGCTACTGATAGGAAGTAGAAATTCAAAGTGATACAGTTGCAGAAGTAGTCTTCATGGATATCGGATTTATAATGTAACTGTTTACAAGTGGATAGCCAAATATTAGCAAGCAGTGGTACCTTTAGGACGGGAGGATAGAGAGAAAGTTACACAAAAAGGAATGGAGATGAACAGAGAAGTAGACAGGAGACAAGAAGGCAAGGAGGGTGGTGAGTGAAGGAGGAAGGTAGGAAGAAGGGAGTTGGAGAAGGGAGAGGGAGGGGAGGCTAATTAATTGCACCTAAGGATTAAATTCATGTTGCTGCATGTAAGTAGACATCTCTAGTTCCCGATAATAACTGATGTTCTCATTTAGGATTTATTCACAAGTGAATTTAATCCAAACCTCCTGGCCTATAGAATTCAAATTAGGACAAACCACAAATTATGAATAATAACTCTGAACAGGACTGAGCTGTCTGTTCACTTTGAAACACAGACTGCAGTGAAGAGAAGGGACCTAAAGGGCAACTTTTTCCCACACAGAGGGTGATGCGTGTATGGAACGAGCTGCCAGAGTAAGTGGTAGAGGCTGGTACAGTTACAACATTTAAAAGGCATCTGGATATGTATTAGAATAGAACTGTCTAGAGGGATACAGGCCAAATGCTGGCAAATGGGACTAAATTAATTTAGGATAGCTAGTCAACATGGACGAGTTGTCAAAGAGTCCATTTCCATGCTGTACATCTCTATGACTATGACATTTCTGCTCCACAAGGCTAGATTCAATGAGGCTCTCTCAGTGAGGACCCTACCTATGATACTAACAGCTCCTCCATAACAATTCAATACTGAGAACAGGCAGGACTTCCATCTTGTCTTCTGTGATGAGGTCTGGAGGGGGTCCAGGTTCAAAAAGTCAGGTGGGTGACCAAGGAAGGGATGGGAGCTAAAATGACCTTATGGAAGGTGGGGAGCCTATGATCAGCCTGGGGTGTTTTGAAGTTTTGTCTTCAACATGGAACATTAGCTCTTGCTTCTTACCCACTTCCACAAATGTTGCGTATTTTCAGTATTTGCGGTTTTTAATTTAAGGACCCCTCTACAAACCTCCTCCCCCAAAACTAGACCATGAAGCCGAAGTTGCTGCACATCCCAGATGGCGTAAACCTACCCCGACTGCAGTTTGGATACTGGAGGAGGTGGGTCAAGACCTTTAAATGGTCAGTGATTGCCTACATAAGGGCCTTAATTAGCTCAAGGCGAGTGGGACACCAAAGAGCTCACAAGTCCCCATTTAATTGGAATGGGGGCAGAAGCAGGCAGGCAGGAATAAGTCACAATGCCTGCTCTATGTTATGTACTGCCCTGACTTTAAACCCCTTGACAAAGGAGTGTATAATCCAGCCCAACAGTCTCCCTTTCGAGACCTACCAACACAGCACTCAGGAGAAATAAGCATCTAATGTCTGCCACCTACCTGTTTGACTGGTTTCCACTGGGTTTAACAGCGAAGTAATGGATGTACCAGGTGTAATCGGTCCTCCAAAGACATTGGAAGGAGTGAGATTATATGATGAACCAGGTAAGGACAGCACCTGTATAGAGAAAGCAGCACAACGTTGGAAGAGCGACAATACCATGTGATGAAGATCTCATTTTATTTGATCTTTTAAGTGGAGTTCTTGACAGTTTGCATTTTCCATTTGGCTCTTAAACAAATCTTTATTCTGCTTTAATGGACAGCAAACTTTCATTAAGTACAGCTCTTTTGTAAGCACTTAAAAACCAAGACACTATTTAAAACTCTGCATGCATTATATATCACGTTCATAAAAATGACTTCCTGTTGAGGTCTTGTGGCTATATTTCTGTCAACACTTTCCATCGTCAAATTTGTGTCAGAACTTCTCAGTCGATTTTGCTTTGCCAACCAAAGTGTAATTGTAATCTCTTGCCACTAAATGGCTCTGTGGAGCAAGTTTAGGAAACAGTTCCAAAGTTTGCCACCATTTTATAAATTAAAGAAAAACCCAAAAGGCATGAGCTGAACAAAGATAATAAAACTGACAATGTAATAGCTGCATTCCCAAACTGCTGGGAGATAGCACCCTTCATTTCATAGACTCAGAGTCATACAGCCATACAGCAGGGAAACAGACCCTTTGGTCCAACCAGTCCATGCTGAACATAATCTCAAACTAAACTAGTCCCACCTGCCTGCTCCTGGCACATATCCTCCAAACCTTTCCTATTCATGTACTTATCCAAATGTCTTTTAAACATTGTAATTGTATCCGCATCCACTACTTCATCAGGAAGTTCATTCCACATGTGAACCAACCTCTGTGTAAAAAATTTTTCTCATGTCTTTTTAAAATCTCTCTCCTCTCACCTTAAAAACGTGCCCCCTAGTCTTGAAATTCCCCATCTTAGGGAAAAGACAAATACCATCAACTCTATCTATACCTCTCATTATTTTATAAACTTCTATCGGGTCATCTCTCAACCTCCTACACTCCAGTGGTAAAAGCCCTAGCCTATCCAGCCTTTCCTTTTAACTCAAACCTTCCATACCCAGCAACATCCTGGTAAATCTCTTCCGAACCTTCTCCAGCTTGATAATATCCTTCCTATAACTGGGTGACCAGAACTGGACACAGTATTCCGGAAGAGGCCTCACCAATGTCCTGTACAACCTCAACATAATGTCCCAACTCCTATACTCAAAGGACTCAGCAATAAAGGCAAGTGTGCCAAATACCTTTTTAACCATCCTGTCTATATTTCCTTAATGATACTCTCAAAAACCCTCAAATGTCCATCTTTTGCAGATCAAAAATTTCTAATGACATGACAAAAAAAAAACAGAACTTGAAAAAAGGTTTCTAACATTAATTATAATGTCACTCATTTCTTTTACTTCTCTTTGCTGATGGGGTTATGCATCTGAGTGGCTTTAGTTTGTAGATTTCAACCATAGAATGTAGGAGCAGAAATACGCCATTCGAGCTGTCTCATTTGCTCCACCATTCAATGAGATCATCGCTGATCTGATTATCCACAACTGCACTTTCTTGCCTTTTCCTTATAACCCTCGATTCCCTTCCTGATTAAAAATCTGTCTATTTCAGCCCTGAATATGCTTTATGACTAGCTGTGACAATTCTCTGTGGCAAAGCATTTCACAGATTTACTACTCAGAGAAGAAATATTATTTCTGAGATTACGCCCTCTGATCCAAACTCCTCCATGAGTGAAAGCAACTGACAGTGGACTATTCAACTAAGCACTGCATCACCTCCTCCCTCTGTCAGTCAATGATTGTTGATTACTGGTTAGTAGTAGTAGTCGGTAAATGATGAGGAGCCAGCTGCACCATCCCCACACACCCATTCCCAAGTAGTACTGAATCCAATTATCTTGCTTGTGAACCCAGCTAACCCAGCACCGACTTGAGGCCCTTCTCGTACAAAAAGGGTCAGAAGCAGCAACTGTTCCTTCATATATTAGTTCAAAACTGGGAAGTTGTTTTTGTTTGTGGGAGGGTTTAGGACCAGGTGGCATAATTTCAGAATAAGGGGTTGGCCATTTAATTCACTTAGCATTGATGAGCTTACTTAAAATGTGTTCCTGTTAGTTTGACTTTTCTGTGGAAACCTGACAGTGAGACTTCCCCTTTAAGAGCCTGGTTCGGAATGAATTCCCCTGTAAAGGGTGGATTGTTCCCAAGCAAAGGTTTCCCCCATTGCTGCAGTCTCTCGGCTTCATGTTCAGTAGCGCGCCAATAAAAACAGAACTTGCTTGCACAAGCTACATAAAGAGGTTATAAATCTCATCTGATATAAACATTTAAATACACTGTGTACTGGCTACGTGTACAAAAAAAGAGACGAGGTCTCCAATTGAAGTTCTGAATTATTTCCCAACAGAATCACAAATTATCTGTGTGCATGAAAAAGAAGCTGGAACTGCTAGTGTTAAAATTACTAAAAGTGATAAAACGCAGAAATCATAACCAACTTAATGTAACAGTTCTAGCCAATTTCATTCGGAAAGAGAGAAAGAGTGGAAAATTGGGAGTGAGAAGAGGCCATTCAAATACGAAGCCTGGTTTAATCCCTGTACACTGTCCCAACACCTTTTAATTCATAAAATTCCTAGAGTGTGGAAGCAGGCCATTTGGTCCAACAAGTACACACTGAACCTCCAAAGAGCATCCCATTCAGACTCACTCCACTACCCTATCCCTGTAACCCTGAATTTCACATGGCTAATCCACCTATCCTGCACATCCTTGGACACTAGAGGCAATTTAGCATGGCAAATCCACCCAATCTGCACATCTTTGGACTGTGGGAGGAAACTGGAGCACCCAGAGGAAACTCATGCAGACACGAGGAGAATGTGCAAACTCCACACAGGCAGTCGCCCGAGGCGGGAATTGAACCCGGGTCCCTGGCACCATGAAGCAGCAGTGCTAAGCACTAAGCCACAATTCCTTTCGGTGATCCTTACTCAGGGGTAGCAATCTCAGCTCAAAGTTGGACGGTCGTCTATTCAAATCTCACTCCACAGACTATAGTACAAAATCCAGGAACAAGGTGCTATGTCACTATAGTGGAGACAGCAGCATTGTGATTATGTCACCAGGCTGGTAATCTAGAACTCCAGGCTAAATTTTAGAGTCACGAGTTCGAATCTTACCACAGTGAAATTTGAATGTACTGAAATAAATGCTGGAATAAAAAGCGAGCCTAATAATGACCACTTAACCAGCGACAATTGCTGTAAAAACCCATCTGGTTCATTAATGCCCTTTAGAGAAGGAAATCTGCCGTCCTTTCCCAGACTCTCTACATGTGACTCCAGACCCACAGCAATGTGATTGATGCTTAATTGCCCTAGGGACAATTAGGGATGGCCAGTAAGGTCCACATCCCATTAATAAATAAATGCCAATCCATCTTTCATTTCTTTAGTTTGACTCCCATTGACTCTTTCATTACTAAAACTATTGTCTTGGTTTTCTGTACTGACTCATCCCAGGGGTAGCATCTCATCTCAGCCTATTATTTTTAAGCAGGATCTAACTGAATTCCATTCATTTTAAATCAAAAACGGAAACTGCTGGAAAAGCTCAGCAGGTCTGGCAGTATCTGTGGAGAGAAAGCAGAGTTAACCTTTAGGATCCAGTGGCCTTTCTCCATAACTCAAAACACTAACTCCATTTTCTCTCCACAGATGCTGCCAGACCTGCTGAGTTTTCCCAGCAGTTTCTGGTTTTGTTTCTGATTTCCAGCTTCCACAATTCTTTTCTTTTTCTATTCATTTTAATTCTCTTTCCCAGACACAGACTGAAGTGTACTTCCTTTTAATCAAGTCTATCAAGTTGCTATTTCAAGGAAAAGTAAATGGAATGTGATCCTCAAATTTAGCAGAGACAATTCTAGATACTCTATAAATCCCAACCTAAAAATAAAAAATGCCAACTAGATTTATTCACTCACTAAGTTCCAGTTCATTAAAATGGAAGCAATCATGGACCTTGAGCCTAAAAAAAAATCCTAGAAATTGTTGGAATTCCATGCAATTTAGGAATTCCATTTATGGTGTTTTGCATTTTATCTACCTTAGTTTTTTTAAAAAAAGTTAGAAACTTGACCAGTAACTCAAGGAAGACATGCACATACCTCGACTGTTAGACCCTGAGCTCTATTACATATTTAATTTAAAAATAATGCAGCCAGAAATGAGTTTCAGTACAGGTCTCTATATCTGACCCATTTCCCCTCATAAATGATACTGTGGGAAGGATATTGCATGCCACCATGTGTTTTTAGCATGAGGGCAGGTAAAATAGGTCAGCATAGACCACCATGTTCTCACCCACTTCTGAGCTCACCTCTGTAAAAGAGGGTGGTTGGGCATTATAATAAGAAGCCTGTCCACCCCATGTATGCAAATAATTAACAGTTAATGGAGCTTGTGCCACCCTGTAATGTGCTGCCCATTGTATAGCTCCCCGCAATTGCTGGCAAAAGAAATTCATGGGTACATTAAGAATCAAACCGGAAATTATTCACAACTAATTAAATACATGCAAGAGTGTACACGGAACATGATAGTTGTAAATGCGTTGATGTACAGTTGTGCGTGTATGTCTATACAATACATGCCTTTCAGCATGATGCTTCCAAATTGAGAAATTGGCAGCTTTGTTGGAAGGGAAATGATTGCATAGTTACAGTGTTTTTGTTACATTTGGGATGTCCCAAAGCTCTTACAAACAATTCGTTCTTTTTGAAAGACAGACATTGGCATTACTAAGGCAGCCAATTTGCATGCAGTGAATTCTGCAAAGGTCATGGTGATCAATGTGCAGTCAACTCTCATGATAACGTTGGTCAATGGATGAACATGACCATGATACTAGAAGGTCTCCTTTGACATTTCCTTCTCACTCCTGCTGGCTGCCGGCAGTCACAGCTCAGCTGGTGGGACTCCAACCTGAGGCAAAAGGTGATGGGTTTAAGCTCTGTTGCAAAGATTGGAGCCAAAGGATCAAGACTGACACTCAGGTGCAGTATTCAGGGAG